CTGTTAATTATCTCCAAAACATTCCTCTGTAATCCTGTCTGTACTTCTGCATATTTGTTACAAGTTATACTGTGCAGCTTACCTGAACATTTCAGGGTTCTATCTACATTATTTCTTCATTATAGATGTTATAGATGGGATAGTTTTTTTTTTTTTTACCAAAATCTAATCACTTCTAGGGTTGGTCCCCTGTAATGCCTGCCCTGAATATGCCGATGATCCATCCAGAAGTTTGTCTGTAATCCTGCTAACCAACAAACAAACACATATACACACAGAGCCAAAAACATAACCTCCTTGGTTGAGGTTAAAACAGCCTCAGACACAATAAACAGTTTGAAATAAAAGTTTCACTGAATGCTAATGATACAAATCAGCAGTTAAATAAATAACCCATAATCTAGTTTTTATAATATATTAAATACATTTAAACAATACTTAAGATGATAAATATGGAGAGTAATATTGTGGGCACTACTCAAATAAATTTATTCTAAATTTAATTAGAAATGTAAATGTAAATGTACATGCACATTGAGAGCCGCTTTACCAGAGTCAAATTCCTTGTGTCCTACACACCTGACCAATAAAGTTGATTCTTCTTCTGATTCTTTATTCTGTAACTATCTCTGTTTATTCTATTGCTGTCTCTCCCTTGTTTTGAATCATAATTGCAGGGTTATGGGCATGTCAAATAAGGAGAACATGCTCAGACAAAGAAATCAATTTAATCAATGTTGAATATTTCACACTAAACCTAAAACGAAAAGTATAAATATGCATTTATGCCTGTCCATGCATGTACTGCATGTGAGAATAAGTGCATGTCTGTTTGTGTGTGTGTGTGTGTGTGTGTGCCTGTCTAAAAGGCAGCTACAGTGGTGATGGCTTCCCGGGGAATTGAAATTAATGAGTATAATCAGACGCAAACAGCGAGCCAGGCAAGGGCAATTAATACAAGCAAGGCAAGCAGAGCTGCTGGTTTGCTCGGCCAGGCATGGCTGGAGCTGAAGAGATGGAGGATTAAGATACAACCACAGACAGACTGTGCAGCTTTCCACACACAGCAGATGTCCACAGAGGGATGGTGCTGGGAGCCTGGCATTGACAGGCATCTACCAACCGGCCACTCGGTCAGCCCTGCCCAATACGAGCTGACAACCTCCTGGCAGCGCTCAGATAACACAGTCTTTAGTTTGGAGAGCCAGGGGAAGGCCCTCATTGGGGCCCCTGCACTGCATACGAAAGGGACTGGGCAAATCTGCACAGTGAAGCTACTATGTGTGAGAGAGAGAGAGAGAGAGACAGAAAAGTATAAAGAGGGCGAGAGAGAGATGGGGAGGGTATTGTGTGCAAGCTCAACTGAAGTACATCTCAATGTGAGGGAATGTTTTTGCTGCCCTTGTGTTCCCTCCATGTTTTTCTGATTGAATCATCCTTGGATGCATGCATTCCTTCAAGCATGCATATTTGCTTCAGAATAAATAAACACATTAGACCCAGCTGCTGTCAGAAACAGCTCTGCTTGTTGTTTTCTTTAATTGACACTAAACGAGAGTGGCACCGCCCAGGATCTTTTCACTCAGCCCTCGCTTTGTTGACTTGAAGAGCCTTCATTCTCACAGCAGTCTCGCATTTCCACTGTTTATTTGAGATAATGATGCATGTGTAAGGATACACCGCCAGGCCAAGAGAGGGGCTGATATGAACTGTGACGGTTGCCTCGTCGATCCAAACCAATTTGTGTTGAAACGGAAAACTGATGTCAGCTCAGACATTGGAGGATATAATAAAGAGAGATGCTACAGTATAGCTTTTACAGTAATCGAGCATCTGTGAAGCAAACAGAAAATAAAGGCTCGGGCCTGCTCCTAACAAGGGTCATGTAAGGTCAAAAAAGCAAGAGACCAAACCTGACTGTACAGATACTGCTGAACTCATTCCCTCTCTGTGTAATGTTCTTAAAATGGAAATCTTACTTGCATCTTGAGTCTAAGTAGAGCTTTCAGGAAATGGCCACTACTTTGTGACTAAAGGAGATGCTCTGATAACATGTCTTTCTCTTTAGATACTTAAAAAAAGATGTTTGGATGTTCAAAACATCATTCAAAATATCTACATACAATGTAAGGATCATTGTGTAGAAGTACAGTGGTCAAACAGTTCAATTCTTGATAAATAACTTTGCAATAAGCCTGTATGACCCAAAATAAAGTAAAGATATAACTCACTCCTCATCAAAAAGTTAAGTATAAGGTTGCAGAATTGTGGATTATTGCTTCAACGCTAATGCCAAACACTGCTGACCTCGTTTCCTCCTCTATGGGTGTGTACTGGTTTATGAACACTACTGGGCTGTAGGGCAAGTCCAACAACATGACAAAGCAAATCATTCAAAAATTGGTTGAACTCTGTTCTAATGTGATTTGTCAGCAGGGAAAATATCACTGCCTAATGACTGATTCTCTTCTCATTCATAAACCCTGTTCTTCACTGTCCAGAGTGCAGACTGCATGGGGAATTGTGTAAGAACTCTCTCTGATGCTTTCACTGGTACAGATAAATTACTGATACATCAGTAAATTTTGAAATACCGGCTATTGTGTCTATGAAAAGCAACATGTCTCCCATTTTAGAACCACATTGCTTTAAAGAAAGACAATTCAGACTTGGAATATTTAGATTTCCTCGTGGCTGTGGCCAGATAAAAATAGTCTGGTAACATCAGATTGCTCATAGAAACTGATGTGTTTCCTCAAGTAACATGTTGAAGGATTTCTTTTCTCTGTCTTGGGCTGTCAGAACACCTTCCCTCTCTCTGATGTAGCTTGTCTGCCCTCTTCTGGTTGTCATCAGGTCAAGTTACGTTGACCAAGAAAAATAAATATAAGCATAATGTTCGTTGTATTATTTATTTTAAAAAATTAAGACAGTATTGAGTAAATTTCTATTTTATTAGCAAGTTGAAAATCTAATCAAGATTAAACTAAAAAGCTGACAATCATTTCAAGGGCTTTGAAATTTCAAAGAAGACCCTGGTTGTCCCTGAGACCCATTTTAAGAATTACTGCTATACACAACCTACCAGGAGCATGGCTCACCAGCAGCAGACAGAGAAAAATGACTGTAGCATGAAGGATTTAGTAAAGTGCTCTTTGATGACCAGTGAGGCTCCATCTAAGAGTAAAATTAACATGTAGTCACAAAGTAAAACGTGGGGAAAAAAAAAAGATTAACAATTAAAGTAGCAGCCTCCATGGTTCACCTCCACCAAACTATTTCAGAGCCATGGATCTACGTTTTAGCATATATTTTATGAGAAGCACATATTACAAGAGAGAAAAGAAAAAAAAAACAACACCAACACCAGACACCAGTATGTTGTTGAACCTGTGCTTCAGAGGTGTGGCTGTGACCTAACCACTTATTAAAACACAGAGAAGCCAAGTGCCATAACGGCAGAAGGCGAACAGCTTGATATTATGCCTTCTGAGGGGTGAACACACTGAGATGAGTGGCTGTAGTGGTTTCCCCTCACAACTATGATCCAGTGAAGCACAGAGGGCCACGCAGTTCTGACCCATACAGTCACAGATATTAACCATTTTAGGGGCCTTTGAAAACAGCTGCCAAGAATAATTTCACACTGAAACCACGGGGTCATACTGACACTGTATGGCCTGACTAGGATGACATAGTAGAATCAATAGAAAAACCAGATCCGCCTCATTAATAAGGACTCCATTTGGAGCGTGTGAAATGCAGTGTAGATGAATTATTTTGTTTTGCTGCATTAATGGGGCATATTACACCATATATCTGTAAAATGCTGTATTGTGCAGCTGAAATGTAGCTACAAATACCAGTGAGAGAGGAAAAGCTGCTATGGAGCTAAAGCTCATATTTGCAAAACTGATGGAGTCGGTGAAGGCCTCTCATTGGTTGCAGCTCAGCTGATTTAATACAATGATACAATGATAGAGGCAGGAACCTTCCCTAACATTTCATCACTGTGACCTTCCTTATATTTGTCCTGTAAGCTTAACATACTGTACCCCTCTCAGTACTGCAACAAGACCTGCTGGTGCCTTCAGTGCTAACAGCACAATGCTAAATTCATAATGGGGCTGATCCAGTATCTGATTACACCACTAGGTCCTCCCAGCAAAAACAAAAAAAATCAAAAGGTCATATTTAATATAATGAACATTGGTGTGGAAGGTTGTTCGTCTGTAATGACACCTGCAATCAAACGTTCCTAAAGGGCACAGAAATGATGACATTCATGGACACTGAATAGTAGCACCAGCCCTGTCAATTCAAATATATCAGTCCTGGCCTTGAAAATGATATCGTCATCTGTTCATACATTTAGAAAACTACTGACAGAGCTACCAGGATACTGTTTCTGTCAAGGTGGCTGATCTTGGTGCTCTCTCAAAGTACACGCCTTCGCCCCCTGGTGGCATACGAAGGGTGGCAGTCACACAGAGACTCATTACGATATACTATAGAAACTGATAAAAAAAATTAAAGAACGTTCTTCTTGACAACAGCATATACAGATATCTTCTCAGGACTTTGAGCTAGAGCATTGGTTATGTTGCAGAGTTAACTCTGAGCCATGAGACTGCACAGCATCTTGATTCCATATAATCAGGTACAATTATGCAATATAATATACAGTCTGTTTTACTTGAGCCCTACATCCATCGTAAAAATTTTGTGCCAAATCACACTACACCCCAGGTTGTAGAACATGCACAGAAAACAAAGCTGCATTATTCTCTCTGTGTAAAATATGATGAGAATTGTTTAGCATAAAGAGACGGGTATGCTATATGTCACACCAGATAACTGATAACTGAGTGCAGACTAGAGGGATCGTTGCTTTAGCCATGTAAAACTTAATCCTTAACACAACAGTGTGCAGGAAGTGAAAGGGTCTGAATACCTTCTGAAGACACTGTAGTTAAAGTATACAGAGCACAGATCTACACAAGTGTTACTATAACCTTTATTTTTGATATGCTACATATTTACAAGATCACATCCATCTCTGTATTTACATTTTATCTTATAAAATGCAGCTATGAAAGCACAAAATGCTTTGCATCATTGTACAGTATGTTTAAAGCAAAATGTTTGCACAAGAAGAAGAAGCAGGCATTCATTTTCTTGAAAGCAGAAAAAGGAATAGGAACTCAAGTTGAGTGAGATCTTTGTGTTACATTGTTAGATACAGATGCAGCCGGTAAAGTTTCCACAGCCTGCCCTGAAGTGATGTGTAAACAGAACGCATGCCCAGCCAAACCTTCCCCAATGTAAAAGAGAGTGTCATCAACTGCAGAGAAACTGCAGTTCCTTGGCGGTATAAGTCAAGGCAGGCGCTGCCACCTCTGTCCCACCCACAGCATCCTGCCCTCTGATCTTCAGGTTAATAAACTTGATCTTCCAGCTGTTAGCTTCCAGTGGGGAGCGAATGAGGCCAAATATTTGCTCAAAAATGCCCAGCCAGATTGTGCCTCTGTGAATGGTCCCGGCTACACCTACCAGCACCAAG